ACAAAAGCTTTGAAGTTTCATTAGGTCCCATTTGTTTATTTTTGTTTTTATTTCCATTTCTCTAGGAGGTGGGTCAAAAAGGATCTTGCTGTGATTTATGTCATAGAGTGTTCTGCCTATGTTAATAAGTGGTTTTCAAAATAACCACATGCTAGATATGATTTTAGGAATTTATTCTTCTTTAGCATCTTGATAACTCTTTCTTAAATGGGATAGACTTTTTCTTAGATGCCACAAGTGTATTAATTGGTTGAAGCAATGTGCCTCATCTTCCCAGAGAATAAGGAAGTACCAGGTTTTTATTAGGTATTCTCTTCCCTAAAAGCTGATGTACGCTGGTGTCTTGATCCTTCCTGTGGAAGCTTGGAGTACCCTCTACTTTTTGAGTAATCTGACTCTCTTTAGTAGCTAGTATGCAACAGGCTAAAGAATGAATAAATTATTATCTGTAATAGAAAAATCGGTCACCAAATTAAAGAATTAGAGCTTGGTTTACAAATATTTAATCAAAACTCATCATGATGCTAAGTGATTCATTCTTTGATCAGTTTGGCAGTTTATTCAAGTATTTACTGAACTTCACCTGAGTTAGTTTTTCCCTGATTTCACAGCTATGATAATATTTACTTAATTCTGGTCACAAAATAAATACATAATCTGAATTATCTGTTCATTGTTTCTGATATTAATCCAGGTTTAATCTCTAGCAGTAATCTTCCAATCTCTTCCCAGTACTCACAGGGACATACATGTACTTGGAGAAGCCTTGCATGGGTACATTACTCATGTTCATGTTGGCAGGGAGCATGGAGGTGCCTGAAGAGATCCATGCATGTCTATCAGTATTTTTGCCCACAGCTGCTATTTGCAGGGGCCAGTGCCTCTTAGGCTTACTGTCTGACTGACACCATTGTTTAAAGGAGACTTACAATGTTTCTCAACTCGTAATCTGTCTGCAGTTGTTTCCCTAGGTTTCCTTAGCTTTACAAGTATCCTTCTTGTTCTTAGATTTCTTTTCTGATAGTGATGTGATCCATTCTAATGTTTAACAGACATCATGTGACATCCTTTGTCAGTGTCTAACCCTTGGAGTAGATATACTTTTTGACATCTGCAGATTAAAGAAATAAATATCATCCACTGATGCCACACACACCGTATTACAGCAGTTCAGTGTGCAGACTCTGAAGCAGATTGCCTTCCCTGCTGACCTGGTGAACTGGGTGACCTAACCCTCTGTGCCTCTGTTCCACCTGTGTGAAAGGAGGAAGATAATAATACTTACCACTCAAGCACGATATAAAGATGAAATGAAGTAATAAAATATTTTGAACTGAGCTTGACACAGTAAATACTGCATTTTAGCTGCAGATGTTATTTATTGCTATTCATTTAAAATTGCATCTAGAATTAACTAGATTTGCATGTTTCCAAACACCATAGGAAATAGGCTGTTCATTTATCTTGCAGGATAGCTTTTATGTCAAGATACTTTCATCCACCCACCCTTATTAATATTTAGGGAAGTACTATTTATTCAATATTTCTAAATTACTGCGAGATGCTGATGTGAGGCACCACTTAGGTGACCACTTAACATCTTTATGAGCTTCAGTTTTCTGAACTATCAAATGAAAATACGCTAATTAAAGGTTTCTGGGGCTGAAAATATTTACATAAAATTCTGGATTAAATACAATTAGTTTATTTAAGTTACAGAATATTAACTATTTTCATCTTCCCATAGCTGATTTAATGTCTAGTTTGGCAGAATTTTAGGAGATGCTGGGGGACATAGAAGGGATAATATAATTCTGTTTGTGCTGTGCCTAGGCAGTGTTGAGTTGGTCCAGGAAAGAGCATAGGAGCAAAAACTCTGTGCATGTAAACAATGCCCACTTAAAGAATGTTGCGGTAGAAGAGAAAGTTGTGGTAAGGGCCAATTAGTAAATACAGGTGGGCAGGGAATCTGTGTGTCTAGACCTAATTTAAACTAATTTTGTATTATTCATGGTTTTTAATACTCTCATTTTTTCTCTCATTTATATTCATTCTCAGATATACTCTCATTTATTCATTATTGAAGATAACTAAAAGTCAAGGAATTTGTAATTTTATGACACAAAGATTTCTAGAAAGCTGAAAGTTTAATCAAGCCGTTAGTATTTGTTGCTTTTATTCACAATGCCGTATACCTATTTATATTAAGATATTTTTTTTTAGTAATTGTTTGAGAGTTTAATTTATTTGTATGTCGCTAAAATTTCAGCAGCTAGATCTGCTTTACAGTAAATGACATTATGTTTTTATATTAATAAACATAGAATTGGCTGCTGAATTCTACCAGATAAGTTTTTGGCACTTATAGATATAACCATATAATTTTTTTAACATCTTTATTGGAGTATAATTGCTTTACAATGTTGTGTTAACTTCTTCTGTATAACAAAGTGAATCAGCTATATGTATACATATATCCCCATATCCCCTCCCTCTTGCGTCTCCCTCCCACTCTCCCTATCCCACCACTCTAGGTGGTCACAAAGCACAGAGCTGATCTCCCTGTGCTATGCGGCTGCTTCCCACTAGCTATTTTACATTTGGTAGTGTATATATGTCCATGCCACTCTCTCACTTCGTCCCAGCTTACCGTTTCCACTCCCCGTGTTCTCAAGTCCATCCTCTACCTCTGCGTCTTTATTCCTGTCCTGCCCCTAGGTTCATCAGAACCTTTTTTTTTTTTTAGATTCCATATATATGTGTTAGTATACGGTATGTGTTTTTCTCTTTCTGACTTACTTCACTCTGTATGACAGACTCTAGGTCCATCCACCTTACTACAAATAACTCAATTTTGTTTCTTTTTATGGCTGAGTAATATTCCATTGTATATATGTGCCACATCTTCTTTATCCATTCATCTGTTGATGGACACTTAGGTTGCTTCCATGTCCTGGCTGTTGTAAATAGAGCTGCAATGAATATTGTGGTACCTTTCTCTTTTAGAATTATGGTTTTCTCACGGTATATGCCCAGTAGTTGGATTGCTGGGTCATATGGTAGTTCTATTTTTAGTTATTTAAGGAACCTCTATACTGTTCTCCATAGTGGCTGTATCAATTTACATTCACACTACATTAAGATTATTCTGATTCTTTTACTGACTCATTGAATATAGACTCCATTTGTGAGAAATACATTTTAAGAGCTAAAATATGGGTTAAGAAGTGACTTATTTGCCCTATATTACATGGTGTCACAGAGTGATATTTACAGAGGATAATGTAGCTGACCTTCTTTAAGTGAGACTCATCTACACTGG